CCCTTCAGTGCGTTTCCCCCACGCTGCCACAGGCAGGCTGGTGAGCTGGGGCACCCCAGAGGGAGAGTGCAGCCCTGTCTGCATGGGTCCATTGCCACTGTCTCATCAAAACAGGGCTTTTTGTTGCGCAAGTCAAGGGAGAACAGCTCAGCTAGCTGCTGCTGTGAAGCTGGCACCTGGCACAGCCCCGCTCCCCAGTTCCCATCCCCTGGTCCATGGCTCATGATACTTCATGGTGTGCAAAAAGAAAAAGTTTTTGCTACCAGCTAGAGATACCAGTCTGTCCTGGGGTGCCCCACAGGGTGTTTTATCCTTGAGACTCTTCTCCAGTCTCTCTGTGCATCGCTTCATCTTCCCCTGGAGTGGTGGTGGGTCTGCAGCACAGGGCAGCTCTGTGCACCAGAGGCAGAGGAAGGGGTGTCTTCTCCAGCTGAGAAGCGATGTCAGATCTCTCAAATGTGATATTTGTACTGTAACCTGGATTAATCCGTCTTTCTAATGCATGTAATGGGACAGCAAATGTTGCTGAGATTTCATGAGCATGGGCCACTGGCTCACTGGGGGATGCTTACATGGAGAGAGCTGCCCTGATGCCAAACACACATCTGAGATGTGTGTTTGAGGGAGGGTCCCTTTCAAGAACACCTACTGGGAGCTGGGAACCTCTAGGACTGGTTCTGTCACTGCAGACAGGTCCAAGTCATTAGCAGGAGTAAAGAAGAACCAGAGATGTTCTACTGTTTGTCAGAGTTTCCCCCCAAGCTATTTCGGCATGTGGGATGAACATTCACTAGGAACTTCTTCAAGCTCTAATTAGCTGTACATGAGTAATAAGGGCTCTTATGGTGAGTAATAACATCAGTGGGTACATAAGGGCTCTCGGGGCCTCACCAGCTCCGTCAGTGTGGTGACATCTCCCTCTTTTGGCTGCTACAGAACACCTGCAGCCTGGGGGCAGGAAGCGGCGATTTTTAGTGCTTAGTGGTCTTTGCTGCTGTTCAGCTGTGTGGACTGGGTGCATTGCTGTGGATGGGTTATGAAAGCAATTGGAAATGTAGAAGGGTGTCCCTAAGAAATTGTTCCCAGTTACGGGTGGCTGTGGGCTTTTTGCATATACCACAGAAATTTGGATAGAGGGAAGGAAAAGATTTCTTTTTTAAAGATGAAACCAAGTCAACAGTAGGTGAATGAACTACGCCCATTGTTTCCTTGGGTAATTAGCGGGAAATGGTGAAGCAGGAGCCCATCCAAGCCTGAGGGTCATGACCATAGTCACTGCGTGGGCAGCAGCCCTCCCTTCTCCCCCCAGCCCTCTGAGCAGACATGCATTGTCAGTAGAAATCTCCCTGTGACAGGCACCCAGTAGTCTTTGTTTGAAAACTAGCTGCCATATCTTGGGCATTGCTAGAATGTAAATGAAATTACACACCATACCCTGCACAGCACAACCAGTGAAACTCTAATTTCTTAAGAATTCTCACCCTATTTCCCTTATGCTTCAGGCTCCATCACCCCTAGAGCAACCCCAGCTCTCCCCATGTCCCAGCAGATGTGATGCCTTCCCCATACTGGTGCTCCTGTGACCTAGATGGAGGGAAGGCAGAATGAGTCCCCCCTCCCTTCTCTGCCAGTTGGCTGCTGCTTTCCAAGGCTCTCGCAGGAGCAGGGGGCTGTGATTCAGCTCACCCCACTTGGGTATTGCACAGCAGAGCTGTGCCTGCCTGGATGCAATCCCTGTGGCTCCAGCCAGACAAGCACCCCCGGAGGGGGCAGCTGCTCCCCAGGCTCCCCAGACAGGAGCTTTGCTTGCAGAGAGAGCATGGAGTGACCAAAAGGTGGGTAGATGCTCCCTCTGCATCCCCAACACCTCTGTGCTCTCTGTCACACTTGGCTGAAGGTGGACAGGGGGTTGGAAAGCTGCTGGGGAAGATGCCAGCCAGGTAAGTGCCCTGTAGTCTGGTGTACTTGGCAGAGTGTCTCTAGCACTGCTTTTTTTTTCCTTTTTCTGTGGGATGGAAAATCTGGCCGAGTAGAATTCAACCCATGGATACAAGTGGCGAGGCCTCATCACGGGCTAACGATAAGTGATGTAAGATGTTGTTTGTTGTGATCATGCTGGTCCATGTTTCATAAAAGCCAATGTAAAACACAGCTCTGTAGTTCCCACTTCCTTGCGCTTATATGGCAAACACTGGAGCAAAAATACTGCTCCAAATACTGGGTCTAATCCTGTTCAACATCTTCATTAATGATCGGGTTGTGAAGTCTCCTTCCTTGGAGATACTCAAAAGCTATCTGGACATGGTCCTGGGCAACCAGCTCAGGGTGGCCCTGCTTGAGCAGGAGCTTGGGCCAGATGCCCTCCAGAGGTCTTCCAACCCCAGCCACTCTGAGATTCTGATTTGGGGCATTGCCTTCTCCTCAGCCCCTCACCTGCCGCTTTACTGAAACCCACAAACTTGCATGTTAGCAGAGGAAGCAAGAAACTGCTCTGGGGACTCTGCGTAAAAGGGCTTTGTTCCAGTAGGATGTCTTCAGTAAACCTGTATTTTATGTCCCCTAATTGTTTAGCTACAGCCAAAAGAACTTACTAACCCCTTCCCTGAGCCAGGCCATCGTTTCCTCTTCCAGCAACGTCGGTTTTGCATACCCAATGTATTACTTAAGCTCTGAGACAGTTATTGCCTGCAGGAACAGCACTGTCCTGTCCTTCAAGGTGCCACCAGCAGCACTTCTCAGATGCTGTATGTTTGAGTCCAGCACCCGTAAGCTTTGGGATGTATTTCTGTCTGCCTCCAGCCTCCTCTTCCTGATCCTCCCAACAAGTTGCACTTTGGAGCAGACCATCCCTGAGGCACTGGGGTGAGGGTGTGGGTTTAAACGAGAATGTTGGCTTGGTTAATGGGGGCTGCTCAGCCCCGCTAGGGATGCCAGCAGGAGTAAGCCCTTCTGTTGCAGTGTTATTCTTTTCCCAACAAAAGGCAAGAATTCCCAGGGTAACACTTTAGAGCAGAAGTTATCAAATATGTGTCTAGGGATGTAAAGGGGTAACTTAAACTGTATGTTTATTTAAAAATGGATCAAGTAAATCTGATGTTAGGGTTGTAAAATATACAAACCTCAAGAAATGAACATACAAACAGAAGCAGGAGATCTGGCTAGCTGCACTCACAATGGTGGGAACCACTGTAAAACTGCCCCTATTTTGGAGACCCCATCCTGCCCTGAAGTTATGACACGCTTTCTTACCCCTGCAGACACACTGCCTGTGGATCACCCCATGCGCTTGTCTGATGCTGGAGCTGTGATTTTCGTCTCCCGTGTCACTTGCTGTGCCCTAGTACCCAGCTGGCACCTTGCCGCACGTCCAACTGCATTGTGGCCTCCTCCCAGTCCTCTTCTCCCCGAGGATGCTGCTAATCTACAGCTACACATCACTGCCCTCCCAGAGCCTTCCTGCCATGACTCTCCCAGGACTTCCCTCCTCTTCCCAGCCTTTCCCTCCGCACTGCTCCCTCTGCCAGGACAAGAAAGCCCTTCACACAAAAGCCTTCACCACGCTCCATCAGGTGGAAAAGCGGCCACAGAGTCCTGGTCACAGGGAAAAGAAACCTCTTTGGGTTTACACCCCTACAGCAATGGGGCTGCAGACCTGAGGGTCCAGCTCTTCCCTGGCTTGTGTTAAACCCACAAGGACTGACAGGTCCAAATAATGTGCTCCTCTTTCACCATGGGCAGGATGTGGAGCTGAGATGTTTGGGGCAGTTTTGGCAGCAGAAGCACGGTGTAAGGGGACATGAGTGGGTGTTTTAACACAGCACTCCCCCCCCAGGTGATGGGCTGATGGGGGCTGGTTGCGGTGCCGAGCAGTGCCGGCTGTGTGCCCTGCTCTCCTCCAGCATCACGGGTAACACTGCTGGTGAGCAGTCACTCCTGGGCTGCTTCCATCAGCACACACACACACACACACACACACACCTGCTTGGCCCCGGCACGCAGCTGCATGGGCAGGCTCTTGCCAAACAGCACCAGGGAGGCAGGAGGGAGTGTTGTTAGTGCTGGCTACAATAAACACTGTTTTTACATCTCCCAGACAGGGTCAACTATCCCCATGGGGTGCCTGAAATGCTGGAATTCACCAGCTGTTTTCTTTGGATATCGGTGTGTTGTATCTGGACAGAAACCGAGGTGTGCTGTTGGACTGGGCACATCCACCGGTCTGCTGCGCCAAGAAAACTTTGCCCGCTGCTAGGACCTCTGCCTGCTTTATAAACAGAAAGGCTGTTTGCCCTGATCTGTGGCCCTCTGGAGAAGAGAAGGAAGGAGGCTCGCCCAGGGTCATGGGGAGAGCTGGGCCAGGGCGATTTCCCAGGCTCCAACCTGATGGCTTCATCTCCATCCCTCCCCTCCGAGGGTGTCTGGCAGGACCACACCGGCTTTGAGCAGGGGAATAAAACACACAGCATAAAATCCCAGCACCTGGGATAGACCTCACCCAAGATGCTATACTGCAGGCCAGAGAGAAAATACTCAGAATAACAGATGCTGTACAGAGTGCCCCTGAGGTGCTTAGCACATGCTGGCTGCACACAGGACCCAGGGCTGCTTCCACTCAGCTGCGGAGCAGTTCCTGAGAGCAGCCGGCAGCTTTGAACCCTTCCGGGATGTCGCTGTCCAGTTTGGAAATGATTTTGTAAATAGGTTTCTTCCAGGAGGGGTCGGCGTCCTTGCCTGCCCTGACAGCACTGAAGAACTCCCGCAGAGTCAGGCTGGCCACTTCCAGGAACCGCCCCGGCACCTGCAGCGAGATGGGCATCAGCCCATAGCACCACGAGGTCCCCAGCTCCCCTTCGCCCTGGCAAACCCCATCGCCCCGGATCCCCCTCCTCACCTCGAAGTCGTTCCCCTTGTTATAGTGCATATTGAGAGCGCGGAAAAGCTCCGAGTCCCGGGAGACCTGGAGGGTGCCAGCATCCGTGATGCCCTCCAGCAGGGCCTGCCGGGCAAACTTCTCCACCTGGATGTAGTAAAACTCACGGAAGTTGCTGAACCACTTGATGAGCTGGGAGGTGATGCAGCGGCTGAACTGCCAGAGGGGAGAGTCAGCAGACAGGCGTTATGCCAGCTTGGAGCTTCCAGACCCAAGAGCCCCTGCAAGCCCAGCCACGCACCACTGGCCTGGCCCCAAACCCAGCCCTGCAACAGGGGTGCAAAAGCACCAGCCAGGACGATGACATGGGGGTGTCTGCGGTGCCTCTCCCCATTGAGATTCAGATCCCAGCTGCCCTGCGGTGGGGAGGCACGTTCATGATGTGCTTTAATCCCCCCGCCTCAATTGCACAGAGCGAAGACCTGGCAGCCCAGGTCTGCTGCAGCCCTGAGCCCCCACTCCAGGGCACCCCGTGCTGAAGCGGGTGCCATCCCCCAACTCCTGCCAGCAAGGCAGGGGGACACAAGAGCATCCTCTTCCCCACAGTTCCCTAGCGAGGCGGGCTGGGTGCCATGCCACATGAGAGCCCTGCCTGGCACCAGCGCTGGGTGCTGTGGTTTTACCTGCACGTCGAGGAAGTATGTCTTCAGCAGAGTGGAGCTGGGGTAGCGGGTGAAGAAAAACATCAGCTTGGCCTTCTTCAGGTGGCTGGGGGTCAGCACTTCCTGCATCTGCCTCGGGGTCAAGGAAAGCCTGCACGCAGCAGCCCGACCCGCTCAGCACATCCCTGAGCACTGGCCCTGGCATGCACATGCCTGGTGCCCACGAGAACCCCTCCCCAGGGCCTGGTAGCAGGGTGGAGGGGGTTCATCCTGGCTGGGCAGCCACCGGCTTTTCCCTTTGACATCCCCAGGGATGCTGCTGCTCCCCATGGTGCTTCCCAGGCCAGTTGGAACAGGGATTTCCATGAGACACCTGTTCCTGGCATCGGATCTCGGGACCGCCAGGACAGCCTAAGAGCAGGCTTGGGAGCTCCCAACTTCTACCCCTAGCTACGCTACAGCATCTAACCAACCCTGAGGAGCAGCAGTGCCCCTCCACAGCCCAGGACCCCTTTTCTGCCCAGTCCTTTTTAGGCCCCTGTCCAGCAGCAGGGACCCTGGCCCTGGGGACGCTAGCAGGGGTTGTGCTGAGCTGTGGCTCCAGAGGACAAGGGGAGCACATACAAGGCCAGCGATCTCTCTAGTTCCAAACGAGCCCAGGGACCTCTCCAGCTGCCCCAAAGGATATATGGGTGGAGGTGAAAGGTGCCCCATCCATCCCAGTCTGCAGCTCCCCATGGCCATCCCTGCCAGCTGGCAGCAGTGCCAGGCTCTCCATGTTGGCAGGGCTCAGGGCCAGGGGATGCTGCTGCTGCTGCCTCACAACTGATGACCTCAGTTTGACGGTTCCCCAGTGCAAGTCGAGGGGCTCCGGGGGATCCCTCTCCAGAGCAGAGATGCTCCCACAAGAGCCACTGCCCCAGAGGCCATGCTGGCCATAGCCCAACAGCTGGCTCAGCAGCTGGCTGTCCTGGACAGGGGCAGCCAAGCCCAGCGAATAACCCATGCTGGGTACCTGAGAGGGTTTTCTGCCCCCCTTTGAACTGAAGGAGCCAGCATGAGAGCCTGGGCTCTTTCCCGAAGCTCCTGACAGGGCCTCAGCCTGGGGTGAGCCCAGCAAGCCTGGTGCATTCATGGGAGATGGCTTAGCAAGTGGCTTTCGGCATTTCCCAGGAGCAAAATACTCTCTCCTGGCATCTGGCTCCAGCACCGGGCGGCTGTGGTGCTGCTGCAGGAGGTGGCTGGCTGCCTTCGGCCAGACGGTCTTCAGGACAGAGTCCACTACCCGGGATGTCACCCCAGCCAGCTCGTGCTTCAGCGCCTGCGAAAGGACCCTTGCTGCCAAGGGCAGGCCACCTGCATCGCATCTGTCCTCGTCCTCCTCCAGCCCATGCACCTCCAGGACACTCCTCCAGAGAGGCACTCTGCGTGGGTCACTGGTGGCAGCGGCACCATCCTTGTCCACTCTGTCTCTAGGCTTTCCAGGCAGTGGATACACTTTCTCAGCACCTTCCTGGGTTTGGGCAGTGTCCCCAGAGTCGCAGACCTGGGAGAACTTCTCCTGAAGCTGCCTTAGCTGCTGCTCTAAAAAGCAGAGCTGCTCTTTCAGCTGCTGGCAGCCCTCGGCATGGGGGCTACCATCCATGGCGGCCACTCGCCCAGCTGCCCCCATGCCCTGCTGGGTCACCCTCGGCTTCCTCTTGCTCTCCCTAGGCATCTCGCCGCCCCTCTCCCTCTCGTGCCCAAAAGCTGCATCCGGACTGGTGCCAAATGCCTGATGGACTGGTGGGAGGCTCATGCCTTGGATGATGCTCTCCACCCTGCGGCATGGGGGCTACCATCCATGGCGGCCACTCGCCCAGCTGCCCCCATGCCCTGCTGGGTCACCCTCGGCTTCCTCTTGCTCTCCCTAGGCATCTCGCCGCCCCTCTCCCTCTCGTGCCCAAAAGCTGCATCCGGACTGGTGCCAAATGCCTGATGGACTGGTGGGAGGCTCATGCCTTGGATGATGCTCTCCACCCTGGCCCTCTTGGCTCGTAGGTGCTGGTTGGAGAGCTGGTCCCGTAGGTGCTGGTTGGAGAGCTGGTCCTGTAGGTGCTGGTTGGAGAGCTGGTCCCGCAGGTGCTGGTCGGAGAGCTGGTCCCTGTTACCAGCACAGGGCACGGGACCCCGGGCACGGGTCCTGGGGAAAGCCAGGGCTTGCACTCCTTCTCCAGGAGATGCACCATGCTCGTAGTCCTGAGACAGGGCCACTGCCTGAGAGGAAGGGAAAAGGATGGTGGAATCCAGGCTCCTGCCAGCCATCGGGTGGCTGAGGAGCTGTGATATCAGGGACGCACTGGGGGAAGACAAGAGAGAGTCAGTCTGGAAACAGGGCTCTGACTTCAGCCCCTGGCCGTGCCCTGAAGTGGCAAGGTCTCTGCCCGGCTCAGAGCCAGTCCTGCCATCCATCGTCTTTTCTTCCTGCCTCGACACCAGAGAGCTGACCCTCCGCTGGCTGGGGATCATTTCCAGTGACAGACTGACAGGCTTCCCAGGTATCTGATGTTTCAGCCTGCTAGCAGTGTGGAGCTGGAGAAAGAGCAAGAAATATCAGTGGGCAGGACCTCATACAGCAGCTCTCTATGCACATGGCCAGAGATTTTTCCCTCTTTGATTTCCAGGGCATCCCTGCTCCCCTGCAAAATCTATTTCACCAGGGAATGACCCAGGCAGAAACCTCCAGGCACTGCAAAACCTGTGAGCAGGCTGTCGGGTGTTGCATGACATTAGCAACACCATGGACACTGTCACAACTTCAACCTACCAGCCAGGCATTCATTGTGCCCAGAGTACATTTCACATGGTTTGGGCCCTGGATGTGCCTGGCAGCGTGGACTTTGCACACTGCCAACTGCACCTGCACCGAAGGCATTTGGGGAAACCCCTCTGGGCTCGTGGACTCACGTATAAGGGTGGTGAGCACCAGACGGAGCCCTCTGCCACGCACACCTGGGCAAAGGTGATTTTTGGGTGCTCCGAGGTGCTGCCAGGCACAGGGAAAGCAGCTACATCCCTGGTGAAGGCATTCACAGCATGTAGCAGCTAGGCCAGGGCATGGCTGCTGCCTGAATCTGCCGGCACCCAGCACCCACCACCAAAGCCCCAAGGGCACGATGATGGGCGGCAGCGCTGGGGGGCCAGGGCAGCACAAACAGGCTGGTGGAAAGGGGAACAACGAGGGTGAAAGTGCGATGTGACCTGCTGCGAGCGGGACACATTGGGATGTTCAGGCTAACACAGCACGAGGTTCCTAAGTGCTTGGCAAAACACTGAATAAAAGGGATGGGGATTACCGGGGAAGAGAAAAACTACTAAGCCAGCAGCCCTGGGCTTAAAATTGTCACGCTGACTCCAGGCAGGGATCCACCCCCTCCACTCGTTTGCTTGCTTGGACAGCTTTGCAAAAGAAGGTGCAAAAGCTCGTATCCTGGGCAATTACAGAGTAATTGTCCCTGTGGGATGCTTCTTCCTCATCCACATTAATTAGCAGTAGCTTTACATCCCTGAAGTAGGACAGTTTATGTCTCTTCCAGACAGCTAAAGGTGTCTTTTGCTATAGCCATAAATGTCTGATCATTTTCAACACCATCGGTCTCCTGTGCCCGTGACTGTCTGCTCCACAGTGAGTCCCCCAGGCTAATCAGCAGTGTAGAAAATGAGTTGCTTCTCACTGTTTTTTTAGCAGGTTGCCTGTTTTCGAACAGCCCTGTATTCCAGGCAGATATCTGGGAGAGCTCTACCTTTTGCAGAGCTCTAGTCTTGACAAACCAAGTTTTTCCTGGGTTGTCCAACACCACTTGTTGCTCTCTCATGTTGTCTCCCCACCCCTCCTGACCATTAGGGTTTCATTTTCCCAACAGTTTGTTGTGGCGGCATTCAAAATGGCCAGCGCGAGGCTGGGGAGCCGGCAGCTCTCAGCATCACCCCTTGCCCTTGTATAACAAGCTTCACCATCGCTTGTGGCCACCTCTGAGCCTGCCAGCCCCTTCCAACAAAACCACACAGCAAATGCAATGCAGTCATAGATTTCATCCACCCTTAAGCCTTTCTGCATGGCATGGGCATGAGACAGCCAGTCCTGCTACCTCACTCGGTTTGCTACAAAAACACCTTCTTTTGGCACTTGGTCACAACTTCTCACCTCCTCTGCGTTCAACAGCATGGTCAGGGAACTTACCCGTCCCCTATGTTAAGGCTTCCCAGCCCCAAAAACCCCGGGCAATACACCCCTTGTAAACAGATCGACTTAGAGCTGGCAAGAAGCCCTCCACTTGCCTAAGGCTTCCAGCACCACCGTCTTTCTGCAAGAGATTTGGAGGGTGGCAGCACAGCCTGGGGTCCCAGGCCATGGCAGCCCGCTGTGGGTGGCCTCGGCTCCCCCCTGCAGCCTCCCCAGCACTGCGGGACCGGGAGGTGCTGCCCCAAGCAAACTGCTCCTGCTGATGCAGTTCTTTCGCTGCTGAGTTAGCAGATCTGTGCTTCAGTTCCTACTCTTACTACCAGACTTCACCAATACCACCTTCCAAAACACTAAAAAGCAGCCGGAGCTTCTCTTACCTGAAGGAAAAGACCGAGGAATGAAAGGAAGATGCTCAGAAGAGAAGGCAAGCGTGTTCTCTCCAAAATGGGAGCCACCTCACATGGGCTCCCCAGGTGCTCCTCAGTGGGAGAGCTGTGCACGGAGCAGCCTGCCGACTCTCCAGCACTGCAAATCTCCCCAGAGCCTTCCCCAGCCACTGCATCCCTTCGTCTTCAGCAAGCGGTCCCCGACCCACTTGCACCTCTCCGCCCCACTCACCTTGGCTCCAGGGACGCAGGGAGCGCAGTGCCCCGAGGGCAGGCGTCCCAGCCGTGGGATGCCGCAGAGGCAGCGCCGGCGAGTCCTCCCACTGTGCTCAGGTCCTTTAAAGAGGGAGTGGGGAGGCCAGAGGCAGCCAACCGGCTGGGAACGACTTCTGAATATGCAGATGGATGTCCAGGAGGTCAGGTCCAGCACTGGGGTCCAGCCACCTTCCCTGCCGCTTGGCTGTCTCCCAGGCTCATAGCCCCTGGGGTCGGACAGGCAAGGGATGGTGCCAACCTGCTGGCTGCCCAGGTGGGCAGAGGGCCAAACGAGCAATTCCCCCCTACAGTTTGGCCTGGAAACCCCATCCAGGACCCAGGACGGTGAACCATTGCTGTGATGTGCAAATACACTGGGCTAGAGGTAAGCAGCACCGCAGGCAAGGAAGGAGCCAGCTTGGAGTTCCGGGTGCTGCCCAGCTCCCATGGAAAGGATGCAGGCATTTCCAACATCCCCTGCCATGAGGACATGGAGGCATTTTGTGTGGCCTGAAGGTCTGCAGTGTAGGATGTAGCCAGGAAATGGAACACAGGAAAAGCAGCAACACTGAGACCCTTGCTTATCACAGGGTGCTTTAGAGACACTGCCACAGCCAGCAGAGCCGGCACCGCTCTCAGCTGAGCACGCCCCAACCCCAGTCCCGGGACAAACCTACCTGCCCCAGGGGTATGCGTGGTCGTGAGATGCTTTGTGCAGGAGCTGTGGGGTGGGTGGACAAAGCCTAGCCAGGCATGCCACTCCTAGGGCTTCATCTGCTCTGCCTCCACATGGTTACTGAACAGCGTTTGGTGTATTCATTTGGTAGGCACGAGGTTGTGGTTAAAAGGAGCTGACATTAGGCGGTCTTGTTCAAGTATATCAGCCCTCAAAAGATAGATTGTGGAGAAATCCTGGCAGAGAGCCTTTTCTGGCTCAGTTGCCTTTTATTAAAGCAGTCAGCACACCCTCAAAGCCTCAGAGCCCTGTTGATTTTTATTCAACCTCTTTTCTTAGAAGATATTTCCAGGGATGTTCATTGCAGATTTATATTAAGGAGACTATTTTGAAGGTTGCAGTTTACCATTCATGTATTATTAAGCAAAGGCTAAATTAAGGACCTGTGTATAACCTAGACTTGGCTCCTCGAGAGATGCCTGGCTGCCAGACAACCTTTTATGACTATCCCAAGATAATTCTCAGATTCTGCAAATGGTTTCCTTGGGTTTTCTTCCACCAGGGGTTCCCCACCTGGAAGCCAGCAAAAACCAGAAACTAGCTGGGGGATTCTCAAACGTTTTCAACATACAGACCACATCTGAGGGACAGAGCGTACTTGTGGAGTCATTTGCCTGTTTGCCATACTGAGATGACCTCCCTGCCCATTTCTAACCATGCAACATCCCACTGGCTGCCAGTTGGGCCAACATCATCCTACATGAGCCTGACCCCATGATTTGTCACAGCAAGCAGGAAGACCACCAGTACAGCTGTCCTGCTGCAATCCAGAGTTGGTTCAGTGAAGAGCATCATGAACTCTTTGGTAACACCAAATTCCATTTACGTACCAGGAATCGCAGCTAACATAACCCGTAAGTAACATTAACTCGTAATGTGAAAGCCCCTGTGTCCGATTGTGCCAGGGGCAGTACAGCACGTGGACGGGCAGGGCCACACAAAGGTACTGACAACCAGGACACAAGGCATAAACGAACTGCCTGCCTGCCACCTGCCCCCCGTCGGGCTGTGGAAGACATCTTAGGTATG